TGTGCGACCCGGAGCTCTGTCCTAGCCCGGGGCTCTTTGTTCCCTGAGGCTGCAGGACGGCCCCGGGTCGAGGTGGCCCCGCCTTGTCACCCTAGAGGACGTGACCCATCCCCGCCGCCCCAGGGCCGACTCCGTGCCATCACCCTGGGGTTCCCCGTTGCGCAGGGCTCTGCCCTCGGAACTTGGGCGTGGCCTGGTGCCCTGTGCTTCAACCCCCTTTTCAAAACAGGCGGGAACTCGGAAACCGCGGGCGCCTGTCCTCGGCGCGACCGGGCCCTCTGCTCCGGCAGGCCCGTGGGTACCTTGGCGGGGTGCGCCTTGCTCCTGGGTCAGCACTGTCTCCACTGCGTTTGCTGGTCCGGAACTTCTCCCCGTGGTTCCAAAACTTCTTAGCATTGACCGATTCATTTTAATATGAAAGAGCGCTCATCTCTGGAAAATTCAGAAGTTTGCTATAGGGTGTATGCTGGCAGAGAGGGAGGGAGAGACAGGAAGCCAGAAATCCTGGGGAAGGCCACCCGCAGCCCCCTCTCCACCTTCCCTCCTCTCAGGCACGGCCCAGACCCCGCCCACAGCAGGGGGGTGGCCCGCGCCCTGCCAGTGCCTGGCCGGCAGCCACGCAGGCGGCAAGTTACCGAGATCACGGCAGGGATGCTGGTGGGGAAAGAGCTGACGGAGAACGGAGACGGCATGGCGCCGGGAGGCAGCCTCACGACCACCGCTGGCCCTCTTGCCGCACCGGCAGCCGTCCAAGGCTTCCGGGCCTGGCCTCTCGCGAGAGCTGCGGTTGTCCCTTCCCGCCGCAGGTCCGTGGCGCTCCTAGCGAGGCGCTCGCTGGGTTCCGGGGCGTGACGCTGTAGGTGTGCGACCCGGAGCTCTGTCCTAGCCCGGGGCTCTTTGTTCCCTGAGGCTGCAGGACGGCCCCGGGTCGAGGTGGCCCCGCCTTGTCACCCTAGAGGACGTGACCCATCCCCGCCGCCCCAGGGCCGACTCCGTGCCATCACCCTGGGGTTCCCCGTTGCGCAGGGCTCTGCCCTCGGAACTTGGGCGTGGCCTGGTGCCCTGTGCTTCAACCCCCTTTTCAAAACAGGCGGGAACTCGGAAACCGCGGGCGCCTGTCCTCTGCGCGACCGGGCCCTCTGTTCCGGCAGGCCCATGGGTACCTTGGCGGGGTGCGCCTTGGGGCTCCTGGGTCAGCACTGTCTCCACTGCGTTTGCTGGTCCGGAACTTCTCCCCGTGGTTCCAAAACTTCTTAGCATTGACCGATTCATTTTAATATGAAAGAGCGCTCATCTCTTTGGAAAATTCAGAAGTTTGCTATAGGGTGTATGCTGGCAGAGAGGGAGGGAGAGACAGGAAGCCAGAAATCCCGGGGAAGGCCACCCGCAGCCCCTTCTCCACCTTCCCTCCTCGCACGATGTGGGGCTTGCACGTGCATGTGCCTGGGGTGTGGTTGAAGCCTTCAGCTCCAGGGCTCGAACCTAGCACCTAACCTCCATGCCACCTGCTGGCCTCCAGCTTGAATTTCTTTCAATTGGAAAAGGCCCCTTCATGGTACCCTCCTGCAGCCTCTGTCCTCACCTGGTGGTGGTCATGTGGCCGGGGCTCTGTTCCGTTCCCAACTTCCCT